ATCCATACTGTTTAAGGATTTACAGATCAATGAATAGTATAAAGGGCATCTATTTACATTTTACTCAACTAGAATAGGATAACTATGTGACTGTCTAGTATAGAACTATTCTTAATTCTAATTAATCTAAGGATCAAGGGAGTCTTGATACATTCAATCTAATGAAATAATTCTCCATATATCTTTTATACTTAGAAATAACATTTCCTAGAATAGTGATTCACTGGATAATTATTGCTATTTCCTTATTATAGGGAAGCTAATGTGTTAAGAACTTGCCTAAGATATTTAACATCATTGATGTTGGAAATTTCTTATATAAAATTCTATTTGCTTCATTAGTACTTCAGATTTTTGAAAGATGCTTGTTATGTTTCAGGTACTGTTTTGTTGCTTGATTGGAGTATAGTTTTATGTAAAGAAACTTGATTCCTCAATTAGCAGTCTTGAGTGTTGAAACTTGTTTTGTATCTTTTTCAGTGTCACACTGGACTGAATTTTTGACTTGTTATAGGCTTGTTTGATCATTTCTATAGATAATTGGATCCTTCTTCTTCTTTTTGAGGAAATAATCCATTTGTATTTTGAAATCTCATACTGCTTATTTTGATCATATTTGTAGAATCTTATAATGTACTTGTCTTGCTATGACTGTGATAAGTAAATAGAATCCTTCTTAATTTCCTATTAAGGTACCTGGATTTAGTTGAGAGTAAAGAACTTGTTACTCATGTTAGCCTTATATAGAACCTTGTGTGTTGATAGTTGTTCTTACTATAGGTATAATAAATAAACAGGTTCTCCTTATTGCATTGTTAGAGTACTTGATTATCATCAAGAGGAAGATAAAATCTTTGTACCTCATATGGCTTAATTTTTTCACTTGGTTCTCATATGGTATTGAACTCTGGATCTTGTGATTGCAACCTGGGAGCACTACCACTGTGTTATAGACCCACAGATCAAAAAAATTTTTAATATCTTAAAAATTGATATAAAAATATTTTTTAAACTTTTTTTTTTTAAAGCTAGTGAAGTTATGCCATTTAGTTTTTATTTAATCATTAGTATCTTCATTTATATACAAATTGAATTGTGAGAAAAACTATATTTATGATAAGTAAAAAACTATTGATTCAATATCTTGATGAACTTTGTGACTTGCTATAGTTTACTCTAGAGTAAAACTTAATGTGTTATGATTCCACTAATACTGATATTTAAAGAAAATAGTAAATTAGATAAGTATTCATTTTATAAAATACTACTTATGCAGTGATTAATTACTTTTATATACAAATGTTCACTAATACCCTGTGTGATTCTCCCTTGTTCTTCTTTTATACTTGTAGATTTCTTTGTACTTTTTGTATATTCATGTTTCTTCTTCGATAAAATTTCTTGAGTTTTCTCATTCTATAACCAGGTCACATCTCAGTTTCTAGATTGCTCTTTTCTCTTGCCAGAGATATACTATTACAGTTTATAAAGCTGTTTTTGCTACTTTCATATCATTTGTGATTTCTTTTCCTATCTGTCTCATCTCATATATAATGATTCTCTAATGATATTCATCCATCCTATCTTACTTGTTTCCTTAATTCTCTTATTGTTGCTGTTGGTTTGAGTGATTTTTTCTAACTATCTTATATCAGTTTTCCTTGTTTGTTTTTATTAGTCCTGACTGCACACTCTTCAATAAGGAAGGATATATATTTCTCGATCAGCCTTATCCTATTTGATCCATATATGAAAGAATGAAGGTCTCTTTCTTCTTGTCTCTTACAAATGATGCAAGTTAAACTTTTATATAGATATGGTTTTTATATATTCATGTTTGCTAGTAAGAGATACTTGTTAAGTCATGTTTTTTATTAAAAGGATCTGTTCCTGCGATCCTGCTAATTTGTTTTGAATAAAATATATTTTTTAAACTTTAAATATTATTAAAATTTATTTTTATATAGTAGATATATAGTTACTTTCAAAAGTTTGAATCTACTTACTATGTTTTTATTATAATTTTAACCTTATTAATTTTTAAATTCTTAATTATACAACTAAAAATTTTAAAGTTTTATTATTATAAAATAATTTCTTTATTAAAATTTTTTTTTAAATGATTTTAATTGATTGTTATATGATAGTTAATAAAAATTTTGCAAGCATACACAACTCTTTCCACTAATTCTCTGATCATATACAAAAAAGATGTTTGCAAGAAGTTTTAATACTTCTATACTAATAAAGTCTTACTACTTTCCTTAAACCATTTTAAAGAGTTTTCTCAAAACTCCCTCACTTTCCCTCCCTCTTGTCTACAATCTCTTTTGAATAAACTGAACTTTCGTGACTTGCAAAGTTCAACTTCTACCTTTACTACCTATGGCAAGAAAGTTCCTAAAGGGAAAAGGACCAATAGTGAAGTACCTTCCTCCTCTTAGTTATGATGGAGATAATAGAGGTTAAAAACCAGTCAAAGAACTTACTTTCCTATTCATTGAATGGTGTTGTGACCTCTCAGAGCTATCTTTTTCACAGCTTTCCAGGGAATTTTGCATACTCCAGCTTGACTCTGAAATTTTGAATAGCACAGATCTCATCAACTCTGATTGGTCGATGCAAAACATGTTGGACAAAATTGATAAACAATCTCCTATTGTCCACCTCACGTGTTTGAATACATTTTCTTAGCTCTATAAGAATCTGAGGTCCATTATAAGTTATTTTGTCTGGCGCAGGTGGATACAGGACATGGCATCGACACATCATTGGATACAGAAAAGAGTTTGTCCGACCATAGTAAAGGTCACAAAATGTTAGATCATTTCCTTTTAAAGATCAAAGCCACTTATTCCTAATTGTATGTCAGGTAGGTTCCAACCTCTACTGTCCGGAAAATCTAAATCAGAGAAAGCAGGAAACCACTTAGGATATTCAGTAGTAAAGCTCATGCGCAAAGTAACCCAGAAAGTTTTCGTCCTATCTTCAAAAAATTCTGAGCTGGAAGACTGGAAGGTTAATACCACCATACCAATCGAAACTCGAGTTCGAAAATGTCAGCAGTGACGTATGAGCCGGCTGGAATATCTGGAAGATCCTCATTGATCGTTAGTATCAACGGTCACCAGCAGAGTATGTCGACTGCAAGGCTAGGTGTTGTCCTTCATATAAGGAATTAAATCTGAAATAAGATGCATAGATGGATAAGTATACACATATTTAGATAGGAATAGATTTAATTGATGATATACTGGGAGACTCTCAAGTCAATCACACGGACACCAATATACCACCTGGGCCTTCCTGGCTACTTCCTCCCCATAAGCCTTAAAACTGTATGATCTCCCTTTTGGTCTTCATCCTTATCTTCATAAAGACTCAGTAGAAGTTTTCCTCAGACCTTCTCATGAGGAATCAGAATAAAACAGGTATGTGCCAAGAAACAAAACCGTCATATTCCACATAACTGTTAATTTTTTCTTTTATTTCTTTTATTTTTCATTTATGACACCAGCACACTCTAGGGATGTTGGTTTTCTTTGCAAAAAGAAAGGACAATAAGCCTCAAAGTAGCTTTAGAATAACTTTAACTTATCGTTATCTTTATACTCCCCAAATATACATCCATGTATTTGCACTTTACGCAATGTAAACTTGTAATTTGGAATTCAATAAAATTAGGCATGAGCCCGTTTAAAAAAAAAAAAAAAAAAAAAAAAAAAAACTTTTGAAAACAACCGTATTAAATTCAATTTTTTTTAAATTTATAAATTTAAAATCTAATCAATTAAATACTATAACTTGTTAGCAATAAATGGTTTAATAATAATAATATAACGGTGGTGTATCCGTGTTACTTTGTTGATTACAAAACTTATACTGTCATTAAAAGGAGCATTATTGGATAAATCAAGTTTTAATTCTTGTATTTGTTTATTATTTATTATATCGAATAACGAATTGAAAACACAGGTGATGGCAATCAATGCAGTTTATGAACTGGAATACGTAACGATGGTTTTAAATTGACAAAAACTTGACGGTTTCCAGAAAACCAGAACGTTAACCACAAATGGAAACACGAAATAAATTATATGCATTCTATCTTATCGAACTTGTACAATTAGAGACTTTTGGTTCATCAACCGTGTAACCTACACCATAAGAAACATTTTCAAACCTAAAACCGAATTATTAAATTCTTTTTGCATCATCAATTCGTCAATTGCTCAGCGAGTAAAGCCAATTCGACGAAAAAAAAAAAAATTTTTCGATTCCCGAATTCTCGAGTTTACCTGCGGAAATCTCTAAAAAAAAAAAAAAAAACTTAAACCACACTCTTTACATGTACTAAATGTGTAGAAAAAAATTAACCCCGATATTAAATTTGCAAATGATTACCTTGAGTTCAAGGAAGCGTATATTAAAATACTTGCTTATAACACTTCTAGTATTTATTTTCATAGATTATACTTTTATATTACTTAAAAAATTGTGTTACGAGAGTATGTGAGTAACTTCGGTTTCTTTTTCTTTCTTTCTTTTTTTTTTTCCTCTTTGATCCTTTATTCCTAACCACGTCCTTCGTCTTTCTGAACAGTTCAAAAAACCCATTCAATCCTATAACCCGTATTTCCCTAAAAAACTTCGAACATGACCGTTCCCTTGACCTCAAATATTGCGGCTACGAGAATTGCAAATTCTTATTCGCTTATTATCCACCCAATCGAGACACATTCGATTCTCGGTACATCGACTACATCCGCATTGCTCGTTCACTTGGCCGTGCCATGGTTTTGACAAATGTTGGTGCCACACGTATAAGCTCCTGCCAAAAGTTTCCCTTTGGCTTCTACTATGATATAGATTCGCTGTCACAAAGATTTCCGGATGTCAAGTTTGTTACGCAAAATGACTTTCAACAATGGTCCAAATCGAAACATCAGAAGCCCACAGTATCACACATTTACATCACTGACGGCGGCGAAATAAATTCGATGGAATCGTTGGTTCCGTATCCGGAAATGTTGAAACGCGTGTGGTGTTTAGATCAGTTCGGATTCAAACTTGACAAGGCCAGTAGATTTAAACAGATACGTGCCAGTTGGAACAGCTGGGCTAATGAAACTAATCGTGAAGAATTACAATCATTCGTAACTTTGAGTTTGCAACACGATGAGGATGTGATGTTGATGAGGCATGATGTTAGGGAATCCTTGTTTCAGGAAGAAGGCGAGAGGATGAATTATTCGAGTCATATTGTAGACGCGGCGGATAGGATTACAAATGGACTAAGACCATATGTAGCCATACAATGGGATCTGGAGAATGCGAATTCGAGGTTTCTGGATGAATGTGTAGAGAGGTTGGTGAAAAGGGTGCAAAAGTCGGTCGATCGAACGAGGATTGAAAATATTTACATGGCCACCGATTACCCATTGTTCGACATTCCCTTGGAGTCTGGTGAAAAGTCACATTCGGTCACCTGGAATTATGTCACACCCGCTCACCACTCTGCCATCGAACTCCTAAAATCACAAATCCCATTAGACAACTGGGCGTCCCTCGAAGCTCTCGACAATCTAGGAATGAAATTAAAAGGAGAATACGGAAATATCAAAGAGATCAGAGAGGAAATTGTAAAAACCGGGATCAATCGCATAGTGGAACGAATTGTTTGTGTTCATGCTGATTGGTTTGTGGGAATGCCAAGGTTTCCGTGCAATTCTCCGCTGGACAATAAAATGTCAAAATTGATTGTGGATGAACGGACAAGGTTATTGGAAAAGGGTTATAATGGTGTCAAGAATAACGTTACGAGGTTTTGATGTTATTATAATGAAATCGATTCTTTGTAAATTATTTTTCCACACAAAAAAAAAAAAAAATAGATCCTAATTTATAGACAAGCCAATTACTCTCATTAGACATTATCAATACTTAAAATCTACGGAAGGGACTTATTAATCGTATACAACTTTCAACATTATACAATATTCTTCGTGTAAACATTCATTAGTATCAATCTTCATTATTATTTATTTTTTCGCAAGAAGTCGACCATCTTCAGAGACCTCGTCTAAAAACCGTTAGACTAATAATATTTTACAGGAATAATTTGATAATACCAAGAACATGAGTCCCACTGAACTCCTTTATACCCACTAGTATTTCTTATAATTCTTCCTCTCAATGTACACCTCAAGCGCTATCTCGTCCTTGTCTTTCTCGTCAAATTCATCCCAATCTTCCATAATCATTGTCTTACACGCTTCCCAATCCCTTTCATCATAAACTCCCAGAATTCCATTGATACCGTTCACAGCGCACGAGAATGGTTGACGAATGGTCGGGTCATTAAATTTTTGCTGCATCAGCTGAAGGAATTCTGTTAGCGAGGTGTTTGACGGTAGCCAAAAAGGAATTCGTTTCCTTTCGTAATTCACAAGGATCGGAAACTATTATTAAAAAAACGAAGTCCGCGTGATTTTAAGGGACAATGTAATTGAGAGACCTCGACGTAGTGACTAATTGAGAATACTTCATAAAGACCTTCGCAACGGGTATATTCACTATCGTGACCGGTTCAGCAGCAGAATTCTGTATTTCTCTATTAAGTAAATGTGAAGTTCATTAATTTACCCTGGTCAATTCAAATTTGGCATGTGAGATCAAAGAATCACCTGAACATGTTATCCAAATCCTTGAGATTACGAAGTTCCTCTCGATCGGAAACAACCATATTGATTGATTCCGCCTTGATGATGCCGTCTGTTGAGTCAACCGAGAGTTTAACCTCATCCATGCCTATGACATTTTGAACCTTTTTTTTTTTTTATGACCGTTAGAGAAAGACATTATTTGACACCTCATAGACCATTACATCAATAACTTACAGGTATTATCCATCTTCTGATTTGTTTCTTTAATCCCATCTCGATTTCATACCCGTCCCTTAGGTAGTTCTCGACACCTTTGATGTGAATGTTAAGACGAAAATAATCCTCAACCTTTTCATCTTTGACTTCCGGATTAACAAAATTTATCGTATGGGTATTTGGGTTCAATTCAATCGCACATGGAAAATCATTGGTAAAACTTCCAATTTTCAATTCTTGAAGGTGTAAAATGATTGACGACTTTTCTTCAAGATCTCCCTTGGAAATGTTTTGAAACACTAATGACTCGTTCATGCACTTTTTTTTTTTATAAAGATGTGCGAGGTGGAAAATAACAGTATACAAATTAATAGATGAATGACGATACAGTATAATGTAGACAGGATGTGACCATGCATTGAGAGGAACACCGGTATTCACCTCTTTATTATCGATCTCGATGAGAGGACTGAAGCGTGTTGCGGCGTGGCCTGTGCCACAGCTCTTAGTTAATGGTCCGGGTGAACTGCTCTTGAAATTCACGCGAGAAATCACACCACAATGAGCAGTGATCCTCTTGTCCTTGAAGTATACGCGAGAAAGCACGTTGCAATTGGTATTTTGTTCGTTTTTAAAGTATACCCGTGAAAACACGCTTCTATTGGGTGAACCTAGGTCTTCGGTGGCTACGTGAGAGAATATGCTTCCGTCCGGATTTTTTTTTTTTGAATATATGTGACTCGCAACGGTCCCTGAGCGCCTTTCCGAAATGGAGACGAGGGGTGGTACATTAAAATGGATATTATGCTTCTCTGAAAGAACTTTTTCCTGTCTATTTCCTCCGAGGGAAATAAGATCGTCTTCGAACGTAATAGGTGTTGGCATCCTTCTCAAAGTATCAGATTTCTTTTTCTCCGGAGAAAACCAAGTGTGATTTTCCTTCTCGAATGAAACAGAACTTTGGGATTCACTCGGAAGATAATCATCTTCAGATAACTTACTCCTTTGATTATTATCATTATTACCACCAATATCCAAAGTATCATCGGTTAAGAATTCAAAATCACTTGGAGGGGGCGAAAAATTCAGTCGATCCTTATCGCATTCGTTTTTTTTCGCGTCTTCATCCTTAATCTGAAAGGTTTCCAAATGTTTACGTGTAAACTTATCAAGAAACTACCATTCACATATGGATATATTAAATGCCAAAAAAGGAAAAGAAAGAACGCGAAATAAAAACCAGATAAAAGATATTTAAATTTCAAAGAGACCATATCACAAAATGCTTCGTCGTTCATTATCGTATCCTCTTCGAAATCAAATATTTCATATAAGTCGTCAAATTCATCGACATCCATTTTTTTTTCTTGATACCGATAGCTTTACGGGCTTTGAAAAAAGGAATTGCTTCGATGGATTGATGTTAACGCCCGGTAATTTGAAATACGAAACAAAGTGTTCAGGAAATTGAGTGTAACGCACGTTGCTTGATGCTTTTATTGAGAATAATCTGAAGTCTAGTCCAACGATGACAGATCATTAAATATGTACAGTCATTCAATAAAAAGATTTCGTTGTTAAAAATATGTGCGTAGTATTTATAATTCTCAACCGGATATGATTTAAATCATTCTATTATCAATTCAAAATTTTTTATTTTTTTATTACATATCGCTAGAAACAAAGATTTATTTTTTATTTTTGCAACACCCGTAGCCAGGTCAGATTGTAGTTTATTAATTAATTGAATACATAAGTTCAATTTATTCGAGCAGCTTAGCATATATTAGAACTATTTATCAAGTCTAATAAATTCATTGTAAGCAAAAATAGTTTCTAACTTTGATCTTAGGGAC